GGGTTTGACGCGGCGCCAGCATGTTCTCCAACAATTCATGTCGCTTGGCCTCTTTGACAATTAGTGGAGAAAGGGCTGCGTCGCGCGAAACCCAACCCCTGAGCATTCGCAGAGAACAAGGCTGGTCCTCTTTACCTCCACCTACAATCCATCTTTCGTCAAAAACTCTCTGACTCTTTCTGACTGATTAAGGCCTACATCAGTGACCCATTTGCGTTTCCTACCCCACTGAGACTCAAACACGACCTCCCTCCCTCCCTTCTCATTGGGGCCTGCTCAACAGCATCGTGATCTGTCAGTCTGAGCAATAACTCCCTGCATTATATAGGTATCTACATATTTTTATATAAATATAGACATTTATCTATTTTTTTGCATCATCGCTGCACTTCGTATTCTACTTGTTGTGGAGGATTTACCGTATTTTAGATGCACCCTTGACAGCAGACTTCTTCATTCCGAATACCGAAAATTACCCGGAAACGTTTTTACTGACACCTGAAAGACAACGAAGTGTTAGTACACTGAAGAAGGTAATATTCCGTTGATCAGTTTGATTCGCGGCTTTATTTCAGATTACGGTAGTATAAGCCATGAAGCGGATAGATGGTCAAAATTACAGTAGCAAGGTTAAGTGATTATGGGGAATCCAAAAAGGGCATATGGATAACAAAAATTTGGCATTATTCCACTGGTACTACTCTGAAAACTCAGAAAAATGTTTTACGTGGACACTTCGCCCACAGAGGTATTCAGTGCCTTGATCAGGGATATGATATTAATTTCTGGCGCTGGCGCCAACAAGCGCCAATTTGGCGTCTCGGTGGTACGGGGGCGGTACGAACGCGGCTTCAGGAGGCGTGATGAGCGCTCCCACAGTGTTTTTTCGGTTGTTTTCTACCTATGGCAGCCACTATTGGTAGAAGAGGCAACCGGGGCGGGCTCATCGTACGCCTTCCGACACCGCCCCAATGAGTGCGATGTTCTCAACGATAGATAGTTACACTTTAGGCTGCTGTGGACGACGATATCGCCAATGTTATCAAAAACATGCAAAAATTACTGTCTAAGGACCTGGTCGACAAGCTACAATCTGTTTTGAGTTCACTCTTACTGGTTAGTCGTCTTGTTCAAGGTGAGGCTAAAAAAAGCTTCACGACTTTCTAACAGGCAATGAAGAAAGGAAGATTGTAATGGATCTGAAGAATGGAAACGGGTCAATAGCCGAGCATGCGGATGACAAGGCCGATGTCAAGTAGGTTTATATTTGGATACATCAGCTAACGTAGCCAATAGGGCCATGCTATAGCTCATGAGGCGCTAAACGAGTCTGTAGGTCGCAGATCAAGGAAGGGGGTTCTTGCTAGAAAGATAAACCATCTCCTCCCTGGCAGAGTCGTTTCATGACTCTTCATAGATATTGGTTGAAGCATCCGGTTTCGTATCTTTTGGAGACACATTCCGCGATCATCAAGTGGGTGGAGGAGTGTATTTCTTTCTGAGTGCTAAGGTGATTGAACTAGGCCACGCGGCAACGCCTCTGCGTCCTTCCCCTAATGAGGGTTAGGCTCAGAGCGCACACGGTCAGAATCACCGTGGGCTTCTGTACCGAAGCGGGCAGTCTCTACGCGACTCAGGCCATTTGCGCTCCTTGGTGGACGAAATGCAGAGGCCTACCACGTGGCCCAGTTCAACTGCTCGGTATCTTCAGTAGTTACAATTTCTCCGCCCATTCGACGATCGCGGTAAGCATTTATAAATTAGTTGTTGGTACGAGCTGGCAGTAAAAAAAAGACTGCTATAGCAAGCAGGCGTGAAATTCCAGTCAAGAATTACGAAGGCTACAGTACACCTTGTTGAAACCGAGAAATTGTTTTGCTGTCAAATGCTTCGTCAATTTCGTACTATCGAATGAATTGTCTGCTATTGTTACCTAACCTAGCTTTTTTACATTGAAGACACTGTCCACGCTGACCAGGTGGGTGGGGGCGGTGAGCCGTAGTGCCTTGCTGTCCTCTTCAAAAGAAGCACCACTGAGGTGGGTTGGGGTTTTTCATAGGGCGAAGAATCCTATCAATGGTATTCAGTCGTTGGAAGTGATATCGTAATTGCCTTTAGAAAAATGTTTTCAGATGTTGACTTATCTCGATGTTCCCTCTTTTAAGTGCGCTAAACATATGCCCCAGCAGCTCCTCCGCCTCGCCTCCACCCATTCGCGACGGCAGGTTTCGGGAAAAATGCAAGGGTTTTCAAAAAAATCTCAAGCTAAGATAGGAAGTTGGGAAAATTTAGGAAGGTGGTAGGTAGAACAGGGATTGAGAAGGGGGAGGGGTGTAGCAGAAGAGGAAATCTCAAGTGGCTTCGCATTTTGCGCTAATTTACCTCAGTGGCAGGATGTGCCCTGAGGGGTGCAATGGTTGACTGTCTCCTCCCACATAATTAGCGTGACCGCGTCTTTGATCATTAGAGAGAGTTTCAGTGATTTCAAAATTCGATTT